ATATGTGGGATCCGAACCGGGGCCCTCTGGCATCCCAAGCGAGTTCTTAACCATCGCGCCACTCGGCCGGCCCAATACCATACTGTCTTGATTACTAAAGCTTTATGATAAGTCTTGAAATCAGGTAGTGTTTGTTCTCCAACTTTGATCTTCTTTATCGAGTTATTTTGGCTATCCTAAGCCCTTTACATTTCCATATGACCTTTAAAATGCTTGTTAATTTCTACAAAAATTCTGGGATTTTGATTGTGATTGTATTGATGGGAAAAATTGACATCTTAACAATACTGAGTTATCCAACCCATCAGCAAGATCTATCTCTCCATTTGTTTAGGTCTTCTTTAATTTCTTTCAGCAATATTTTATAGTTTTCAGTTTATAGATCTTTCATATCTGTCATCAAATTTAACCCTAAGTGCTCGTATTTTTATTGTAAATTGTTTTAAAATTTCTATTTCTGATCATTCATTGCTAGTATGGAGAAATACAATTGATTTTTTGTATGTTGACCTTGCATCATAACCATGACCATGTACACATGTTAGTTACTTTACTAAATTCACTTACTAGTTCTAGTAGCTTTTTTATAGATTTCATTGGATTCTCTATATAGGCAATCCTTCTACCTGTGAATAAAGACAGTTTTACTTCTTGCTTTCCAATGTGTATGCTTTTTATTTATATTTCTTGCTTTATTGGACTAGCTAGGACATCAAGTACAACATTGAATAAAAATGGTGAGAACAGACATGTCTTGTTCCTGATCTTGAAGGAAAAGTAGTCAGTTTTTATTTTTACCATTAAGTATGAGATTAGATGTAAGTTTTTCATAGATGCCTTCTATAAACCTTCTATAAAGTTGAAGTTTTCTTCTATTCCTAGTTTGCTGAGAGATTTTTTTTTAAAGCAGGAATGGATGTTTGATTTTGTCAAATGCTTTTTTTGCATCTATTGAATTGCTCATATGTTTTAATTTTTTTTTTTAGTTTCATAATGTGGTGAATTACATTGACTGTTTTTTTTTAATGTTACCCAAACTTGCATTCTTGGCTTTACAAAAGAAAGAGGTTGTACAATTTGAAAATGATACAGTAAAGATGGTATTTCCTCCTCCTCAGAATTCACCCAACCAAAAGTGAAAATGAGAAACAGAAATGTAAATACCATATCTGATGACCAGGAGAGAGCAGAAATCTCAAACAATGAAATGGGTGAATAGGCTGAAAAAAGCAGTGGAGTCACTGATTGGTACAAATCACTTTGGAAATTATGGGGCAATATTTACTAAAGTTATATGTTTACAATATCCAACAGTTTCACTTAAAGAGACATGAGTGCATCTGTCTACCAAAAGACTTGTACAAGAATATTCAAAGAAGTTTTATTCATAACAGCCCAAACTTGGAAACAAACCAAATGTCCATCAACAGAGAATGAATAAATTGTTGTCTTCCCATACAACAGAATAGTACACACTAAAAAGGAGAACTACTGATAGATGCAACAATATGGATAAATCTCACAGATGTTTTAACCTTGAAAGAAGTCAGACACTAGAGTACATTTTGTACAATGTTGTTCTGTACAATGTCAAGAATAGGCCAGTCTATGGCGATAGAAGTCAGAATAGTGGTTGCCTTTTGGGGGAGGTATTGATTGGGAAATGGCATAATGGAATTTTCTGGGATGATGGAAAAGTTCTATATTTTTATTTGGACGGTAGTTACACACACACACACACACACACACATTCATTGAGCTGTACTCAAGATTTGTGTATTTTACTTGTATGTAAAATGTGTGTGAGAATTATATGTCAATTAAAAGGGAACCAGAATGGGGTTTTTTTTCCAGGAATGGTTTAATATTAAAAGACACCTAAAAATGTAATTCACTGTATAAACAGATTAAAGCAGAATAACCAAATTGTCCTTCTACTAGATGCAGAAAAAACAATTTTATCACTCAACATCCATTCATGATCAAAACTCTTAGCAAACTGGGAATGGAAAGAAATTTCTGTAACTGGATAAAGGTTAACTACCAAAACTCTAATCTACATACTTCCTAACGGTGCAACCTCAGAAGCAGTTCCTTGTAAATCAGGATCAAGTCAAAGGTGCCTATGAACAGCAATTCCATATCCCGTTGTCTGGGAATCCCACCTTACATAGGTAGAAGAGGAACACCAATAGAGGCCCTATCCTGAGAACATCTGGCTTTTAGATCCATGAGGTGTCCTTCAGTTTAGAGGACTTTACAACTATCATATATGTTACAAATAGGTTACAAGTATGTAGTCTCATATCAATTTAAAAAATTGTTTTCTTGGTTAGACATTTGAAGACAGGCCATAAAATATGGTAGCAGTAACAGATCTTAAATCAAGTTCTTTTATTTTTAAGATGGAAAATATATGAAAGGTAAGGAGGCGGTCGGCATAAAGGAAACAAGATCCATAATATAGATGGAGATGTTCGTTCAACAACAAAAACAAAACAAAACAAAACTTGTCCAAAGTTGGTTGTATTCAGACCCCGACAGAACCTCACAAAAGACAGCTCTTTATCCCAGGAGGAATGGGATGATAGACCAGGGCTGGGCCAGGAGTCCGAGACACAGTGAAGCAGGCTAGATTTCAGGCTACCCACCGATTTCAACTAGTCTTCCATCCCCAGGATTCTCAGGAGCTCTGATCTCGATGCCTCTGGGTTTCTGGCTGGGGGGCCCAAATTGGAGATTTGGGTTAAGGGGTGAGGAGTCATCAAAGCCGCTACTGTAATGACAGTGGGCCGGAGATGCCCCTCCCTGTCCCCGGGATCCACTCGCGCCCCCTGTGCCAGCGTCCTGGCCATTGAGATACCTCTCCCCTCCGCTCCCTTCCCGCACCCGAGCCAAACCGGACTCTTCGTTGCCGGAGCTGGAGATGTCCGCCCGGGGCGCGCCACGCACCGTTGGTAGCGGGGTCGGCAAACTGCGATTCCCGGGCTGTTGATTTTCCAGGATGACGAGCTGCCTGTGTGGGTGCCCGCAGCGCTCGGATCCCCGGCTAAACTTCGGAGTTCCTACCCAGCCCCAGGCCCTTGCCCATGCCGCTTTGCCCCCACGGTCAACGCTTCCTTCTCGACGACGCCCTCCAACCGTAGCCCTGGTCCTTCTTCCGCGCTCCTGAACCTAGAGGACTGCTCAGTGACCCACACTCTGCACTTGTTCCTGGGGCGACTTCCCGTGCAGCGCAGGCCGCGTCCTCCTCCCCCCAGGGCCCGGTCTCCCCATTCTCCTCTGTGGCCACGGTCTGCTGAGCGAGGAGAGCCGCTCCCTTCACCCCCCAGCTGGGACATAGCCGCCCCCTTTTCCCTGCACACGCGAGTCTGAGAGCGCGCCTCCCCCTTCCAGGGAACCCTCTCCTTCCCACAGGCTGGCCGCTGACAATTCCGTCTGAAGTGATGCCCCATGCGCATGAGCCCCCTTGCCACCGCTCTCTCGGGCCCTCCCGCGTTCTGGCCGCTCCTACTCATTGCTCCCGGTTCCTTGGGGCAGAGGCAAGTCCTACCTGACGCTCTTGCTCCCGCGGGCCCCCGGGATATGTGTATGCCCTTTTGGATCCCTTCTCTGCTTTCTTAGATGCCAGGCTCCTTGCGGCTGATCTGATTATTTTTCTGGCCAGGCCACACCGGTCACTGGATGTACCTCCGCCCCATCAGAGCAGGCTGTGGCAGCGTCGGGAAGGACAGACAAAGATAACGACCCAGCCGCCCAGGTCACTCAGGCCAATGGAACAGCTAGCTCTCCCTTCTTGGCTCAAACAGGAAATGCTTAGAACGCCTGCATTCTAACATGTTAATTCTCCCTGGGCTTGCATTTTTAAACCTTTTAACTAAATAAAACGGATGATTTAGTCTACATTTAAAGGAATTTCAAGAATTAATGTTCATGATATGTTTCTTTTGTCTCTGCAAGGTCCCTCAATTTATTCCCTTTTATCTATATACTCCACTCCTATTTGCCTGCCCCTAAAGTTGACCATTCCATTCTGTTTATCATTTTTTCTATGTGCTCTCGCAAAAAAAAAAAAAAGTGTATTGTTCTGCGGGCATACATTTTAAATTTGTGTTAATTTTAAATTCAGTTTCTTTTCAGTCAATGCCAGGATTTCAAGATCAATCTGTATAGCTCCCACCCCTTCTAACTGCTGCTTCCTCTCCACCGTGCTCACCCACCATGTTGCATTTTTCTCATCTCCTGCCACCACCAATAACAGTGCAATCATCACTCTCAAACGTGTCCTTTCTTATGCAGCACTTCTCCAACAGTGTGCACATTTTTCACCTGGGGTCTTGTTAAAATGCAGACCTTGTCCAGCCCCAAAAAAAAAAAAAAAAGAACTACAAAATGCAGACCCTGATTCTACAGGTGGGGCTTGTATTTCTAACCAGCTCCCAGGTGAAGCCTATACCGCTAGTCCTGGGACCACTAGGCCCTTCCTGAGCATCTGTGAGAATTCATTTTGGGTTGCTGGGTCACAGGGTATGTGTTTGATTTAATTTGGTAAGTATTGCCCATCTGCTCTCCAGCTTGGCTGCACTACCTTATTTCACACCAGCAGAGCAGGAAAGTGGAAGGTATATATTTATGTGGGGAAAGAAAGAAGGCCTTCTCCTTGCTCCTGCCCACATCCTGTCCCCCAGTGTGTCTGGTCTGGGCCAAAATCTCCTCTCTCCCTTCGCTGGAATGGCCCTGAGGCTCCAGAATGATGTTGCTGGCCAGCAGTGCACAGCTAAGTTAATGATAGACCCAAGACCGCATCCAGGCTTTATCTCTGGCACAAGTTTTAAGAACAAGCATGGGTCTTCTGTTAAGTTGTCTTTCCTCCATCGCTTTCCCTTTAGTAGCCTGTTAGGTGGACTAGGACTTAAACTACCTGGCTTTGCCACTGGCAAGTGGCCAGCCTGAACCTGACTTCTCATCTCTAAAATGGAATAGTAACAGCATAGCTACAGTTTGTGGCGTGAGGAGACAGTCCAGGAACTTCACCCACATGCCAGGAGCCCTGCAGGAGCCCTAAGGTAGTTGTTCTTGCCTGTGTTTTACCCACAAGGAAAATGAAATTCAGGAAGGCTTAGCAATTTCCACCAAGGCCATGGAGCTAGAAAGTCACAATGTTGGGATTCCAACCCAGCCTCAGCGAATACACCAGACCCGTGCTAACCATGAGGCGATACAACCTCCATGTCCTGCCTTGCCCTCACTACCAGGCCATATTTCAGGGATAATCACAAGGAAATGGGAAGGAAGGACTGTGCCTGGGGTTTCAGGCACAGATGCTTGAAGGCATCTAACCAGTAGCACGCAGGGTTATGAAACTCCACAGCAAATAGGCTTTGGCAAAAATAAACCTGGGTTCTAGGGGCTGGTCCCCAGGACTTGAATATTTAAGTGGCAGGAGAGGGGAACTGTGGGTCTAGGGCTTTAGGAGCAGGGCTTTTAGGGTTAGATATACAGTGGGGTTAGACTGAGTGCGAGTTGGGAAGGGTCAGGAATTGAGTGGGGGTCAGGAGTGGAATAGAGGTCAGGTAGGTGGGTCTTAGCTGTGAGTAAAGCTGTCTATCATGTGCCTTACTTAGTAATAGCTGATCACTCACTGTTTTGTTTGAAGGGTCAGCAGATGTGCAAACAGCCAGTGCCCTAGGCATTGGGGATGCACCTTCCAAGGCCCTCCTGGTGCTGTGAGAAGCTTGCTGGGTCCATTTTGGAAACCATGGGCTATACTTCTCCCACTCACACAGCTGTGCAAGCATCTCCTGGCACCAGGCCCCAGCCCCAAGCATTTCACAATCAGAAGAGTTTGACATCTGCATATTTTGAGATTTCATGGCACAAAACCTTTTACATCTTGTCCACACCCATCCACTCTCTGTTTACCACTGTAATTATATCCATGACAGAGTATTTCTCTGAGGGCCTTGGGAAACTTCTTGCTCTTTCTATGGCCTTCAGGGTCAAAAGACCTTTGAGCCTACAGAATGTCCTTAAGAGTCCAGTACAGTATCGTACAGCTTTCTGGTCTTTACAAAGCACTCCACACATAGATATTGCCTTTGACTCAACTCCATGACAAGGTTTGGACCCACTTAGCACAGGCTCAAAAGAATTAATTAGCCAAGGCCACACATTATGTAGGAGGGTGAAATGGGACTTCTTGTTTGTTTTTCCAGAACAGACCTCAGGAAACTTAAAAAGTAGGTACTCTCTGGGAACCCCATTACCCTGTTCGGCCCATTTCCCAGATTTAGGGATGTAGACTAAGGCAGGAGCTAGGATGTCTAGGAAGTGGGGAAATGCCTGGGCAGAAGGGTCTGAGAGGGGAGTTAGTTGAGGTCTCATGGGGCCCGTGGGCAGTCCTCTTCCAGCTAGGTTTCTGTCAGTGGCCGCTTTCTAGAGCCTGGGCAAGGGGAAAGAGGGCGTTGGTGGGAGGAATGGGAAGTCCAGGGGTACCCAGGTAGAAGTTCTCAATGAGTCTGAAGCTGAGACAGCTGCAAGAAAAAGATGCTGCTAGTTGCTAAGGGGGCCCCAGTGGTGTCACCACACCCACATGGGAGCTGTTGGTGGCTTGGCTAAACTATTCCCCTAGTTAAGCTGTCTTCCTTGTCCCCGCTCCTCAAAGCCCCTGGCCCTCCACACCAAGTACCTGTTATATGGACTTGAGGGAGGTGCCCAGAGGTCAGGCCAGCCTACCCTGCCAGCTCCAGCAACATCATGCATGCCACAACCAGTGCCCTATAGGGACTGGGTGGTCTGAGCCTGCTGAGCAGGAAGGCCCTGGCCCCATTGCCCTCCCTTTTCAGGCCCTAGGCCAGGGCTCAATAGACACAAGCAGCGGATTGGGTTGCCCTTCTATTGGTCCAAGTCTTGAGCATGGCCCCTGTGAGACATGGAGGTGAGGAGGCCCACCAGGCTTAGCAGAGTGGAAAATAGCAGCAGGAAGGAGGCAGTGAAGAGCAGGGCCGGGAGGGCGCTGAGCACCAGCAGCAGGACGGCAGGCAACAGATGTCGCCACACTGCAGCCACGACAGGCCACAGGGAGCTCAGCAGGTGGGATCCGGTGGTGAAGAGCGCATGACACAGCATCAGTGCCAGCAACAGGTATAAGATCCCCTCCAGACCCCAAAGTACACGCTGCAGCGGTTGCCGCCAGCTTGATGTGGCCCACCACTGGGTCCAGCTCTGGGGCACGTGGGACGCGCACCAGCGCAGCCAATGCTGTCGCGTGACCCAGGCCGACCAGGGCACCGCCCGCTGCGGCCCCTCACCGGCCCCGATGGCATCTGTCTCCACTCGCAGCTGCTGCATCACGGCTGGTGCACCTGGGGAGAGGGCCATGCCAACTGCAGAAGCAGCCTTAGATATGTCTGTGACCTCAGGGCAGGTGTGGGTGCAGGAGTCAGGTGGGCACCAGCCTGGGTGGGGTGGGGCTTTGAGCTGGGGATTGGGTCTTACCTCTGGGCAATACCACCTAAGTCATGTTGCTTTTTGCAGTACCCAGGACCGCCTGGCAGCCAGAGATAAGTCCCCTCTTTCACTCATCTCCACCCTCCCAGAGGAGCCCCATTGTGATCCGGACTAGGGTGGGGTCCAGCCAAGAAAGGAGCTATTGCAGGGTGTGAGCTTCATCTAAGCACTTCTCTGTGGACCCTTCAGGCTGGCAGGAGTCCACAGATGTAGCTTTTCATGTTTTCTTGTGGGAAGCCCTCTTGGATCCCTGTCCCTTCCCTGCTGACTGATAGCGAGTAGCACTCTGCTCTCTTGCAAATCTTTCTCTCTGGACCTTCATTCATTCTTTAGAACCACTGGGAAGGCCAGGATGGCCAACCCCCACCTGCCGGTTCTGAGATGGCTATCATATCCTTCCCTGGGTTCCCTGTGCCTTATCTCGCCTTCTATGGCCGCCTCTGTCCACACTGTGGGGCTGGAGGTCCCCTGAGGTTCAGGCTGGGGACAATGGGGTACCCTCCTAGCCTGCCCAACCCAGGATGGAGAAAAGGAGGCCTGAGGAAGCAGTATGGCCAGTGCATTTCTGGAGGGCACTCAGACCCAAGGATGGAGGCAGACAGCCAAGCCAAGCAGGGCCAAAGGCATGCCTTGGGCTCCCAGGAGCAGCCCCAGGCCCAGGAGCAGCAGTAGCAGAGCTTCCTGGAGGCGGAGTTGTCCAGTGACTGCCACCATCGGCAGGAGTAGAGCCTCCTGTTGTCTTGGACCCTCACCAGCCCCCTGACTCTGGCCCCCTGTGAGAAGTGTGTGCTGTGGCCTGGTGGGATCTGAGGGCCTGTGGAGAGAGAGGGTAGCAGCTGGGCTTTGGGAGGTTGACCACTTCCTCACCTGCCAGTGCCTGCCCACCTGCCAGGCTGCTGCCCACTTACCTGTGGAGTAGGTCGAAGGCCAGGAAGCTGACTAATAGCAGCAGCAGCAGCAAGGCTGGGCCAGGCGTGGAAAAGACTGCCCAAATTGTCAACCCCAGTGCCCCCAGCCCTAGGACACTGTCCAGAAGCTGGGCTGGACTAGGGTCCGAGGAGGGCACACATGGATGCACTGGACGACCCGATCCCTCTCCAGCACCCTGGCCCCTGGGAGGGACAGGGATAGGATAAGCAAGGGCTTTGGGCCTGGGTGAGCAGAGCTGGGTCATGGAGGGAGGTGGAGGTTACAGGAAGGGGCTTTGTTTGCTGGGAGGGAGTATGGGGGTGGGGTGAGATTGTGGGAGGGGGTGGCTCAGGGAGTGGGGAATCTCCCCCTCCCCATACATCCACCCACCAAGCCCTCCTCACCTCCTCCCACTTCGGTCAGCCATTCTGGGGCTGGCAGCTGGGGCATTGTGACCTCTTGCCAGGTGGAGCCCTGAGGTAGGCAGTGGCTGCTGCTGGTTCTGGCCTCATAAGCAGCTGGGGTTTAGCCAGAGAAGGTCAGTGATTTCTGAGAACCAAGACTCAACCTCTTGCCTCTGCTAATTCTCTGCTCTAGGGCCCTCCCATGGGGATGTGAGTTGCCAAGAAGGCATTCTAACCTCATCACTACATGGGCAGCTGACCAAAGGAGGAAGGGCTGCTTTCTTTTTCCTGCAGGTTCTCAGAGCCGTGTGTCCAGAGACAAGTTATTCAATCTTCCTAATGCTCTCTTCCCTGAGAGTAGGGTGATGCCTGTGGGCCCCTGTGAGGAGTTTTTTTTTTTTTCAGAATTACAGCCCTGGAATACAGAGATGGAATCTGCCAGGAAGCAAACCTGAGGTTTTTTGGGGCTGGGTTCCCATGTGACATGCTACATGGAAATGGGGCAAAAGAGGGGTTATTTAGACATAGTACCATGGCTTGTGGGAAGTGTTCCAGATACTGGGATTCCAGAAAAGGCATACAGGATGTGAATGTAAGAGGGCTGCTACATAGTAGCCTCCAAACTGGAGCTTAAGGTTACCCTCTGAGAATGAAATTAAGGAAAATGAACATGTAATGAAGGGATTGGTCACCCGAGAAAGAAACCCAACCCCCTTGATAATCTGTAACTGGGTGATGGTTCCAGAGGTTCCAGTACATCTCGGTTTAGTGACCTAAATGAAAGGCACTAATGAAAGAAATGCAAGAATGAAAATGGGTCATAAATGAGAGAATTTAATCTTTGTCCACATATCATAATTTGAGGGAAAACTGATGGGGGTGGGTAGTGAAGGATAGTGGCGACATAGCCCCTAGGAGAGGAGGCGACAGAGTGAGAATCAGGCTGCCTATTTATCTCCAATGGGCTCTGTCCAAAGACTCAAACTTGGCAACGTTGATTATCTTTGGTGGTGATGGGCTCAATAGCCCATGGAGCCAACGCCACCAGACCTTGGGACCATTCATTGATTGCTTTGCTCTGGCTCTTCCCAAAGCAATAAAGCAATGCCCACCAAATTCTTAAGGAAAATGATTTCCAACCTAGAAACATATATATATATATATATATATATATATATATATATATATATATATATATATATATATATATATATATATATCTCCAAATGATTATCAAGCGTTAAGGGCAGAATAAAGACATTTTAAGCCACACAAGGTCTCAAAAATTTGACCTTGCAGGGCTAGCCGAGTGGCTCAGCTGGTTAAGAGCTCGCTTGGGAGCACCAGCTCTGAGCAGCAGGACTGTGGTTCGGATCCCACATTGAGGGCCAGTGACGCTCACCCTCTACAGCTAAGATGATGAACAACAGCTCGACATGGAGCTGGGCTGCTGTTGAGTCGCTGGCGACAGCGTGGGCTGCAGCAGGGCTGCCGTGGGTTGCCATGAGCTACGTGAGTGGCTGGTGGCCAGCATGAGTGGCTGGTAGCCGGTGTGAGCTACCGGGAGCTGCTGTGAGCGGCCGACCAACGACCGGCGACCGATTGCCTCACCTGGGAAGAGCACAATGATCATACCAACATGGGCCAGTGAAACGACGTCCTCCACAACTAGACTGAAGAACAAAACAGCAATTTGTCTACCTGTCTGTTCCCCTTCCCCGATTCCCCAACACTGTTACCCTCCCCGCAATTCCCCAATAAAATCTTTAAAAAAAAAATTGACCTTGCATACACTCTTTCTTAGAAAGCTACTGGAGGATGTACTTCAGAAAAAACAAGTAATTAAGAAAGAAAGCCATGTGGGTTTTAAGAAACGAGGCTAAATACAGAAGAGGTATGATGAGAAAGGCCTGGGATGTCAGCTGTGCTCCCAGGTGAAAAAGCAAGCAACCCATCCTGGAATCTAAAGATAGATGCTTTTGATTCACTTTGTCATCCCCAGGAGGGATGTCTCCAGAAGAAAATAAAATTGATTATCTGCTGTTTTTAGACATATTCAAAATAAATGTTCAGCTCTGTTGGAGACTGGGATTGTAGCAACAATTGGTCCCTTAAAGACCAAGCAAATGATAAAACAAAGTAAATGACAAAACAAAGTAATTATTACTTTGTAATTAGTACAAAGAAATAATTACAAAGTAAGAATTACAAAGTAATTATTACACAAAAAGTTGAACAATAATATTTACATGGTCATAATATGAGCACTGAATATTGACTCCAGCGATTTAGCTCTTTTGGGAAAATGGAAGGAAGGGGAAGTGTACGTTTGTGTATTTGGGTATGTAAGGGTAGAAGGGTGATAAGAAAGCTAAAGCCTTAATTTCATATCAGGAAATCTGCAGATAATGTCTAAACATAGAAAAATCAAGAAATAGCAATAGAGGGCTGGCAGGGTGGCACAGTTGGTTAAGAGTGTCAGCTCTGAGCCACCACTTCGATTCCCATGTGGGCCAGTGAGCTGCACCCGAGCTCAGCTGCTGCTGAGCTGCCAATGGGCAGCCGGATGGCTCAGCTGGTGAGAGCAGTTGCTCTTAACAACAAGGTTGCTGGTTCGACTCCCACACAGGATGGTGGGCTGCGCCCCTCTAGAACTAGGTTGAAAGCAGTGAATGGACTTGGAGCTGAGCTTGCGCCCTCCACAACTAAGATTGAAGGACAAAAAAAATTTTTTTTAATTTTAAAAAATGATTGAAGGACAACAACTTGACTTGGAGCTGATGGGTCCTGGAAAAACACAATGTTCCCTTCCCCAATTCCCCAACACTGTTCCCTTCCCCAATTTCTCAATAAAAAAAAGTTGAAAAGAAAAGAATACCAATATTTTAAAAAATCCTCTTTCTAAAAAAAAAAAGAAATAGCAATAGAAGCATAGAGATAAGGACAAAGAAAAATAACAAAAAACATTTAAAGTGGTTGACTTGGGAACGAGAAGCATAGAAAAGTTTATTACAAGCCTAAATGTGATTTACCCCTAAAATTATATTCTATAGTATTTTGATAAAACTGATTTAGTTAAAAAAAAAAAGCAAATCAATGTAGGTTCATATTGTTGAGATCAGGAATATACCCTCCCAGGATGAATGAAATACCAATTTCCTAATGTTATGTGGATGTAGTCTTGTGGCTTGAGATAACATTTTCAGTGACAGCATCAAACACCATCACACTCAGAAAGCTGTGAATCTTATGCATTTTAAGTGGAGGTGCTCTAAACCTCTAACTAGTGCTTCAATGTGCGCATGACTCTCCTGGGGTTGAACTGGTCAGGGATTCCGCATTCTAACAAACTCCCAGTGGATGCTGATGCTGCTGGTCCTTGGCCTCACTTTGAGGAGGAAGGCTCTCAAAGACATTGATGTACAAAAGAGACAGCTGGAGGAGGCGATGGTGAGGGGAGGATGGGCATATGGGGAGATGCCTCCCTGTGCATCTAGGGCCACGGGAGTCCCCATCAATACTCACCTGCATCATAAGGAGAACATCACAGTGGGTAGTGAGTTCTGTTTCAGCATCAGGAACAGGAGGTTAGGAGGCAAAGGCAGGCAGTGGATTCCACTACTCTATTTGTGAAGCCAGGCACATAGCCTCCTTTCTTTTCTTGCTATTGTTTTTATCCCATCCATGTATGTGAGAACAAGAGGACTGTCTTAGCTGTTTTCTCCACCTTTAATTCATCTGGTTAATTTCAGGGCCTCTTGGTACCACACATTATGTCACTTCATCATCACAGCAATCCTGGGAGGAAGATACTATTGTTCCCATTTTACAGATGAGGACACGGAGGTTCAAAGAGGTGAAATTACTATAGAAGGATACACAAACAAAATAAATGGCAGAAGCCAGATGTGAAATTAAGCCAGTGTGGTCCCAAAGTCATCTGTCCTCTCCATTCCCAGCCACCGGACCACACCAGGGAGCTGGCAGGATATTCCCAGCCCATTCCTTAAGCCAACATCCCTCTTGGGCAGATGTCCCCACTAAGTGACTCAGTTGTGCTTTGCAACATACCCTCACCC